GTTATTTGGGGGGGGGGGGGGGGGGGTAAACCACATGAGTCATCTACGTACTTCTGCCATCCCGTGAGGTTTCGATACTGAAGGCGCACATCGCCGCTTTCCCTGTGCGTTTTTGGTGCCGTTTTTGACAGGCCCGGCAAGCGGCCGGGCAGATGTTGGAAGGGTTCAAGGACCGGGCCGACGGGATGCCTTACGCCCTGTACATCCTGCAGACACCGTCCCCAAGGCACACGGATCAGGTGACATTCTCTGGGTGCATACAATACTCACCGTAAGCAAAGCGTGGTATTGTAGTGTGTCGGTGAGGCTGACAAGTTTGGCTGAAGTAAAGTCTTTGGTAGACCTGTTAAGGCAGCAGGGGGGGATCTGGCGTTCTCGTGTGTACTGCTGTAGCCGGGAGCATTTTCGGCTACGAGCAACACATGGGGGTGTCACGAATCTCATGGTACGTAGCTCCTCTCTTGTAGGTCTAGCGATGTTGTGTATACTGCACGCTTCCTGCGGGCACGCATGCGAACCAGGAGTTCATCTGACCGTCTAACCGTCTCCGCATGCGGCTAAAGAGCTTGCTGCACGGGGCGTGCTGAAGAAGCCCAGATGGCCCGTGGAGAATGTCTCGCGATGCTGTTTTCTGTACTTGATCCGTGTGATCCGTGCGAGTGCAGCAACCTCCCTCCCCATCCAGACGGCCGTCTTTGTTGTTGACTCGTGTACCGTACTCTGCGTACTTCTGATGGTGCAGTATCACTGCGGTAAAGGAGGGGTGCAAATAACTCGCCCTCTCCTCCCACCGCACAGTCCAAGCACATGGTCTGTTTTTGATAGCCGCCGATAGCTGTTTTGGCCGTCTCCCTCGCGACGATTTCGTCCCAACTCTTTGCTGCGCAATTCACGGCTGCTGCTGCTGCTGCTGCTGCTGCTGCTGCATCGACACCAACTATGACGTCGCGGCTGTCGCTGTCTGTTGACAATCTGCGCGCATCGCGTCGAAAAGGTGCGGCATTTCGCCCTGCATTCGCTGGAGCACATGCTGAAGGTCAGGTGGTTTCCAGAGAACGATGCGGCAAAGCCGAAAGGAACGCCCGGCAAGACCGCTGCGGTTGGAGTAGGCGCGCCCCCAGGGATGGTGAGAGAGGGGCTGGGTGATTTGGGGGGCGGTCCCGTGGTTGCGGTGCTCTTGCCGTCCGAGGGTTGTGGGTATGTTTTTGCTTTCTGGTGTACCAAGCAGATGTGCTGCTGTGCAATCAGCTGCGGGAGGAGTTTTGCAGGTACGATAGCGGTCGCTGTAGCGGTGACAACGGCACGCGTGGTCTCTTCACTCTTCACACCGAATCGAAGTACACGTGTATTCGAGTGCTGCCTCCAGCCTTTGCCTTCGTTCGTTCGTTCGTTCGTTCGCTCCCCTTGGACGCTGTTAGCCGGCGTTTCGTGTTGACTCGGCATTCTTTCACGTTTCCACTCATTTTCGTGAGTCGAGTCGGGGTCCCTCTATAGGGCAGGCTCTCTGTATCAGAGGTGGCCGATATGTGGAAGGTGAAATCTCTGGGTACAGCTAGAGTACGCGAGTTGTTGTATTTTTCGGATAGGGTGGGTGCCCACGATAGGGCGGGTGAATCGGCTGGCACATACCTGCCGTAAGACCTCGGCTTGCAATTTTATTCCGTTTTCTGCAGGATTCTCAGTTGACTCACCCTGTCCTAAGAGGAAACGACTACAATAGAAGGGTGTTCATGAAGCCATGACTAGCTTTGGCCGTCTTCATGAATAGAAAGAAAAACATGATTGTTGTTTCGATGCGGCATCGTTTTCATCCATTTGAGTCGGATGACTCTGCCCGAAACCTTTTTCCTCTTCCTTCTCGTTATTTCCTTCTCTTTCGCCATTTCCTTTTAGGCCCCTCAGCTAACACTCGCGGAGAAGGAGCAGCTGAAGGAGGCAATGCTGCAGGTCATGGCCAGGGGCACCAGGGACGTTGCTGGCGAGGCCCAGTTCATCAAGATCAAGGTATCTATCTACCAGTATCGTTGTAGGTTCGGCCTGTCGCCTTGCGGTGCTCATGTATTGTTCCAGGTCCTGTGCTCGTCTATTGTAGTAGGTCGAGCCAGCCGTGTTGTGGCGTCTTGGTGGCCATGTGTGGGCTGTTGTGAGAATGTCGTCGGATCGTTTTCGAACGTCCTACTGCTGCAGTACAGTATCAGTGTACAGCAGGTGCACCACAAAGAGCGGGGTATCCTACGGCAGTACCACCGGTCTGTCCACTGCGCGTAGTTCAGCTGCTGTGTACCGAGAGCACCTCCTGCCTGTTGCTTGACATTTGCGTCGTAGCGCACGCACACGTTACGAGATCGGTTCCCGGTTTCAATCGCGAGGCATCGTAAAAGAACGGCAGGTAGCAGTGGTGGTCTTTGTTTCGAAAGGCTCAGGAACGGTCTGGTATTCATGCGTTTCGCCTTGTTCTGTGCGATCTGATGTTGTTGCCACAATTTGGTTTTGCCATCGAGGGACAGCTCCCCCTTATAGTTACACAGCAGTAGTTGTAGCAGGCAGCACTGCCCGCCAACCGACCGGAGAGTTGTTGTCACTGATTTGACGAGGGTAACCTATGAAACCATTGTGCCGCTGATCGACGGCCAGCCAAGCTTTGAGGCAAGCGGGCCGTCAACTAAGGGCCACAATGGCATGCCGCATACATTCATCGAACAGATTGATCGGTCCGATCAAACATTGCTGTGAATTGTGCACCCACCCAATCAAACCCGAAAAATATGATCTGAAATTTCAGGTGGCCGACTTGGTTGCACGGCTAGCTGAGAGGGATTACCCGAACCGATGGGAAGGCTTCCTGGAGCAGATGATGCAGGTATTTATTTATGCATGCATGTACTGAAGGCTTTCGATAAGAACCTGCAAGAATCACTACTGCTGTAAGATTTACTTCGACAGTTTAGGTGGAATGCTGCGGCGGCACGACACCAATGCCTCGCAAAGTCTAAGTCCGACAGCAGTGAGGATAGAAAAGTCAGCACGTAGGTCGTGAAATTATCATGGAAATGGCGGTCATGGTGATACGGATGCCGGCTGTGAACACAGGTGTCCGCAAAATACTTATTTTGCCTTGTGGTAGTTTTTGCTTTGGCGATACGACCGTAGATCCTGTTCACCGTTTTGGGAAAAATCTAAGAAATATCTACACTGCGTCGCGGGGTTGGGGTGTTCGATCGGTGGTTCGGTGTGGACGACGGGCCCTATAAGGCGTGGACGACGGGCCCTATACAGGCGGAGTTGGCTATGATGGTGCTGGCCATACTCATCGAGGACTGCCACGACGTGGACTTCAGGAGCGAGGTGAGGTCGCTGTCCCAGAAGATGTGCCGTCTGTGCGCGTCGTCGGAGGTAGGTGTCCTGGTTGGTTGTCAATATTGAAGCACGATGATAGTTCCGTGATATCGATGTACGGCATGAAGTAGCTGACGTGTGCCGGGGGGGCACGCAGCTAGCGTCGATGGCTAGTGCTGGGTGGGTCGACATCGTGGCTCATGGGCGCGGACAACAGTTTGGCTCGTTTTTTGTATGGTCTGCTGGACCAATGTTAATGTTGATTGCCTCGTTGTCGTTCACGGTGGCGCGGTGCTATTCAGAGCAAAGGGCATCGGCGTTAAGCAGCAGCGTCTCCTTCGGTTACGCATGCCTCCGTCGCGCTCGAGGGTCGACCGGACTGTACGCTTGCATGCCTTCAGCCTTGTGACCGCTGTGTTGTTCTTCGATAAACCTTGAGTACGGCATATCTAGCCACCGCCGGTTTGCACGAGGTTCGCCACCCATGATGATCATGCATTGGATCTTCGGGTTTTCTGGGCTTGTATGCAGTGATAAGTCTGTCCACGCATGTACACATGCAAGCCCAACGCAATGGAAGCGTCGTCGATGTACATCCCCTTCAATGTAGTGTGTCGGTACCCATACTGGTGCTATCTGTTTTGTGTCGCGAGTGTCTTCTTTGGCTGCTGCTATCGGTGCCAAATATTTCGCGCGGGTTGGAGCACGACTTGCTTGGAACCACGGCATGACAACAACACGACACGATTTTCTGTTGTTGCTGTTTCCCCCGAATTTGCCATCAGATCGACTTCAGCCGGAGAGATCCTATCCTGAGAGGCCTCAACGATTTCTTGCCCCAACTCATGCCAACATGTGAGTAAGACGCTACCGTCAACCTGGTGTTCCTGCTGATTTTGACACGATGGAACTTGCCGGTTGAGCGTGCCATGTTAGTTAACGCTTGACTGCTGGATAGACGCCTCAGTGCAATGATGCTGGGTCTGATAGACGGTTGTATCCGTCTTATTCTTGTCTGTTTTATTCTTACAAGGAGCGGAAGAACTTAATCTTAAATCTCTTATCTCGCCACAGAAAAACAAAGAGCCCAGAATAAATTAGCAACGTCTTGCCCGCGTTGTTGTATGACCTAGCCGTGGTTATACTCATGTTTTCGTATAAAAAACGAAAAAAACAGTATCTCTATCTATCCTCGGATGAGAAGAGTCCAGGATAAGGTGGCAACGTCTTGACAGCTATCTGTCGCTCTACTCATATTCGAGCAACATGCAGCAGAAAGTGATCCATTATTTTGTCCCCCGTGCCCGACCGCTCTCGGCAGTGTACAACTTCCTGGTGCAGCAGTGGATGGGCTACAAGGCTGCCGTCGCGGCGGCCGGTGGAGCTTCCGCGGGAGTCGGGGCCACGGAGGCGGCTCTCATGAACCGGGCGCTCAACCTGCTGTCCAAGATCATGCCCTGGGCCGGCGAGAAGAGCATGGGAGAGGAGCCCAACGACTTCTTGCCGGTGAGCGATGCCCCTCGGAGGGAGCATGGAGTGGTGGAGGTGTTGTTTTTTCGCGTTAAGGGGATTACTGCAATACCTCTCCTACGATGTTGTCTGTGTCGCTTTGTCGAAGAGATCATGGAGTGCTCGGTGTTGTTTTGTCGCGTTGACGGGATCACTATTTACTCTCGTTCGATGTTGTCTGTGTGGCGCCCCTCGGTCTGAGGGGCAGAGCCATGGCAGGAAGGGCTCACGGCTCCTTGACTTGGTGGTTGCTGTGGCGAACCAACCGTTCGTGGTCTACGTGGTTTTTGTATTGTCTTGGCTCCTAGTACAGCTGTATAGCCATTGGTACTTGTAGCTTGACCGTTGTTTCGTTGTGTTTGCTGTGGTGTGCTAGGTGTGTTATGGCCGTTGTATACACAGCGGTTTGCTTCAAAAAGTTCCAAATTTCCAAATCCTTAGACCGTTGAACCTCGATTTGCGGCCGAGGGAAAAACTTGGAAGTTTGAACTTTTCTAGAACCGAACATTTTGGAACGAAAAATTGGAAATCTGGAAGTTCTGGAAGCAAAATCGCTGGGCATAAGACGGCCTTTTACTATCGTGGCTTGTAGCCTTTTGCATTGTTGTCCATCTTCGTCTGGTCGTGTGAGCGACTATTCACGTCTCTAACGTTACGTGAGCGTGTTTGTAGACTGAGCCAAGGCGTTTACGAAGCAAGTAGCGAACCAGTGGTAAATCGTGTGCATATGATGCTGGCTTTACTGTTTTTGATGTCTTGTACCTGAGCACCCACACCCACACGTGCCCCCTTCCTCGCGTGCTCGCTGTCTTTTGGCGGAAGTTTTGGTTACTTGTGGTCGTGTCGTTGAAGGTGAAACCGATGCCGCCATTCATGGTCGTGCTACGCCTTCTTCAATGCTGTTAATTTCTGCCCTTCAGCGCCAGCCATCCTTTGTCCTTGTGGTTGTTGTTGTTGTTGGCGGTGGTTGTGCTGCTGCTGTTGATGCCACGGAATTTTCCAGGCGATCGCGCAGCTGAGCACCCTGCGGGTGGCGAGGAGCGAGTCTCTGGTGTGCCTCGAGGCGATGTGTTCCCAGAAGCTTTCCGAAAAGCATTTCCACCGCCTGCTGGAGCACCTGCCCGAGATGGTGCAGCACGTCAAGCAAGCCCTGGCACAGGTGAGTACAAGCCTTTCCAGGTTTTTTCTACTAAATAATAGGTACACATGTTGGATGAAGCATGCAATCGAGGAAGTTGGGGTAGGGTTAGGGATAGGGATACGGTCTGTGTACCCCTCCCTGTTCTAGCTAACCCTAAACTTAACTTCTGGCGAAGGCGGTCCGAAGAAAGACCTCCTGCTGTTGGTGGTATCGCAGCTGATTTTCAAAGGTGCTGCTGTTGCTGGTCTCGCGGTGGTGGTGGTGGTGCTGTTTGTTTTTGTTGAAAAAAAACGTACAATCACTGCTGTGTTTGTTGCTGGGTCTAAGTATGTTGCTGCTGCTGGTGTGGTGGGATGTTGTCGTGGCACTCTCGTGTTTTGTTCTGTTTTTTCAGTCAAATCACCGATGGTTACCTGGGTAATTATATGAGCAGCGGGAGTGAGGGCCGTGTGTCCGGGTGTGCATTCTTGTAGATGAAATCGAATCGCAGCGCTTACGTCGGGGAGGCAAGACAGCAGGGTGTTCAGGAACGGCGAGCGATTGTAAATACATGAGTAAATGGCATGGCCAAGAAAGTGGTGTAGAATAAAAGGATAAATGAAATGGCCAAGAAGGTGGTGTAGAATGAAAGAATTTAATGGCATGGCCAAGAAAGTGATTAGAATACGGAAACGAATGAAAGGCCTGCTCACGTGTATCAAACCCGAGCGGTCTGGGGTAATGGGTCCGTGACCACGGAAGGCGGCCGCGTCAGGTGGACCGGTACGGGGGTCGGAAGGTACCGAGAAAGTGACCGGTACGGTTTTTTATGTCAAGACAACAACACCACCACTACCACCAACAGCAACAGCGTTTTAAGCACGTCCCGTGTGGTTTTCCGTCTGGTGTGCGGGTGTCCGTGAACGTGCGTGTACCGTACCCAGGAGGCGTTACCGTTGTCGGAGTCGCTGGAGGTGCACCAGATGCTTAGCGCCTGTCTGGAGGAGACGATGATGAGGAACATCAACTACATCGCCGGGGAGAAGGACTTTCAGAACAGAAACAGGTGATTTGTAACCAAGTCTCAATCGCAGGTAGATGCTCTTTGTGTGTATCATGTTCGTGATTTGTAACCAAGTCTCAATCGCACGTAGAATGCCTCTCGTGCTCTCCTCCTGGTGACTTGAAACCAAGTCTCAATCGCACGTAGAATGCTCTTGATTTTTCACCAGGTCTCCATCGCTCGCAAGAACGCTCGTTGTTACTGTTTTTTTTCGGACTTGCCCTTGTTTCTTGAAAGAGGCGGGAGTGTCGCAGGCGAACCATCCTCACCCTTCACCGTTTATTGTTTTCCCATTCACGGCGACCCCTAGCCGGAAGTCGGAGCTGCTGTCGAAGTTCCTCGAGGAGGTGCTGCAGCTGACCAAGATGCCCTCGAAGCGCATGGCCGGGAACCTGATCCAGGCGTGGCAGACCCTGGCCAACAAGCCAAACGCTAAGGACATGCCCGCGTTTGTGGTGATGGTGCCGCAGCTCGTGGCCGCCTTCGCCTCGCACATCGTCACGGTGAGTTAGTTCATTGGTTGGTCGGTTCCCGGTCGAATTGGGTATATCTGAGTCTAATGTGTTGTACCTTTATTGTCGTCACGATGAGTTGGCTGTTGGTTCCCGGTAAAATTCGGGTACACCTGAGTCTAATGTGTTGTACCTTTATCGTCGTCACGGTGATTTTGTTGGTTGGTTCCCGGTGGAATTCGGGTATACCTATGTGCTGTACCTTTGTCATCGTAGCGGCGATTGGTTGGTTGGTTCCCGGTCAAATTCGGGTACACCTGAGTCTAATGTGTTGTACCTTTGTCATCGTAACGGTGATTTGGTTGGTTGGTTCCCGGTCAAATTCGGGTACACCTGAGTCTAATGTGTTGTACCTTTGTCATCGTCACGGTGAACTGGTTGGTTGGTTCCCGGTGAAATTCGGGTATACCGAAGTACCTTTGTCATCGTAACGGTGATTGGTTGGTTGGTTCCCGGGCAAATTCGGGTCACCTGAGTTGTATCTGATGTGTTGTACCTTTATCATTATCACAGCAGTGAGTTGGTTGGCTGTAACTGATGTGTTGTACCTTAATCATGATCACAGCATTGTGTCTGGTGTTTTCCACTTACACACGTTTGCCTGCGTTCGTCCAATGTCAAAGCTAGAATCAAGTGATGTCTGGCGGGTATTTGCGTGGAACACAATCACATGGCTTCAGGTTAGAGGTCGGGTTTCGCTCGCGACCGTAGCGAAGTGTTGGTTTTGATTGACTGAATTGAACAGTCTCTGTTTCAGGAACTGCGAACAGGCAGAAGGTCGAGCAACACTAGCCCCCGCACACAGGGACGCCACACGTACAATTTGCAATAATCTTGACAAGGAACATGGGATTTTTCTCTCTTGCACACACACCGTCCCCTACGAGCAGCCCCACTTGCTAGGACATCCGCCGCTTATGCGCGCGCGGTACTCGACCCCAACAGCAGTGGCGTCAACAACCCTTTTTTTTATGTTTCTGGTGTTTTGGATATGGACACGTGGAATCAAGCAAGCACACTCCCTTCCCCTAGTCCCTCCCATGGGGCGATGATGGAAGAAGTTTTTTTCGTTTGCGACAGCAACATCTCCCGTCGTCTGCGTCACGTCCGGTTTCCGGAAGCCTTGCTAGAAAATTCGCAAGCAAGGGAGACGCTAGCAGAGCCGAACATCACGTCCACATTCCTGAAGTCGACATTTCGACAGAATAGTACTTCTTGTCTTACATCTCCCTCGTCGACCACCACGCTGAACACCCCAGGGATGGTGTGTTGTTGTCCCCCGACTGCGACGGAGGGGGATGTTTCTTACATGATCCAGTGTACTCGCAGCCAGTACCTGGTAGGAATTATGACTAAATAGACCAGCCTGCTACACAACCTCCGATAATAAGTAGCTGGGCCCGTACCCCCTCGTAGCGTAGACAATGCCACGAGTGCACCTCGTCGAGTGTCGGCCAGTTTCCTCTCAAAGTCATGCGTACCCATCGCTCGGAGGTAAGTACAGTAGTGCAATCATGTTTTGCGTGTGTGTAATAAGATGCAGTTACATGCGTTCGAAGGCTATGGTGCGAACGGTCGGGCCCTGCACTGCTGCGGCCGAGGTCTTTGATCGTTCTATCGTGCGGCGAAACAAACTCTCACGCCTCTCATACTGCTGTACCTTTTATTTTTGTTTTTCAGCACGCGAACACATATGGTCCGCCGCTGCATCAACTTCGGAAAAACATAGCTTTGTTAACCAAATAGTGACCCACGAGATGTGTGCATATTTTCGAGTGTCTCCGCGTTCAGTTTATCGACGTCACGTTATACCGCTTCGTCGTGCCGTTTCGTCGTGCCGTTTCATCAGGTTCGTTTCGAGGATGACGTCACGGACGACCCTGTCGCGGCGGAAGAGTTTGTCGACGAGGAGGACTACTTCCAATTCGTATCTGGCTTCCGAACACAGGTGAGTGGCTCGCAATTTGTCGCAAGAGTGATGGCCGACCACAGGCGGCACAACACTTGCCACCGCGGAAGACCTTTCTTATGCGCGAGGCTTGTTTGTTGTTTTTCTTTGTGGGGGTAACCCAGCATCTAGTGCGTAGGTTCTAGTATACGATTATTAAGTAGCTGACCACCTGTTCTTACGATCGAGTTCTTGGGTCGCTGTCTGTTTGGGCGTGAATTTATGTCCGTTTGGGCGTGAATATATTTAACTCCCAGGCTGTTTGATTTTTAGACAAGTTTTTGACAGGAAAGGCAACAGCGCCGCGCTCTTGGTTGTTTGTTTACTGATGGTGGAGTGGAGTGATGGCAGGACTTGGAAATGCCAATATGGATGAACTCGCTTTGCTTTGAGGAGGCAAGCGCGCTTCCCACAGTGAAGAACAAGGAAATAGAATGTGTCGCACGCCTGAGACAAGACTCATGCCAATCGTAGTATTGCCTTCGTAACCAGGACGGCGATGAGTAGCAGCAGTACGGATGCATTCAACGACTTCTTGTCTTATGCCCAACTTTTCTGTACGCTGCACTTGGCGGTTCTCTATCTCTCTCTCTCCCTCCCTCCCTCCCTCCCTCCCTCCCTCTCTCTTCGGATGCATTAAACGGCTTCTTGTCTTACGGTCATTTTTTCTGTACTCTGCACTTGGCGGCGATCTCTCTCTCTCTCTCTCTCTCTCTCTCTCTCTGTCTCTGTCTCTGTCTCTGTCTCTGTCTCTCACCCTTACACCGGGCAGGGCAATAGCTCCAGTTGCACTTGGGTTGCAATACTATTACTACCCAGTGTCACTCTTCCGTGTCTCGCACCGGATACTTCAATACAACTCTTGACAAAGATTCTGGCATTTTTTGTTGTGATTGCCTTCTCAACCCCTTGCACGCGTGAAGCCTTCCTCCCACCACAGGTTGTGCGGTCTCAAAAGCTACAGCAGTACCGCTTTCACTATCTCACGCCGAATGAATTTCACGCTGTTCGCGCTCTCCCCGCCAGGTGAAGCTGTTGCAGAACAGCGTCGGCAAGGTCAACCCTCTCCACATCGTCACATACATCTTGGAGCAGGCGCAGCAACTCGTGCAGCAGCACGGGACGGGTCGCGACCACCTGGATGCGGCGGGTTTCCCCACGTGGAAGACGGAGGCGTGTCGCTCGTGGAGCACGTTCGCTTCCCTCGCGAGAGGGACCATCGTGGGCCTTCCCAGTTGGTGCACCGGAGAAAAGGTGAAGCAGACTAGGTTGTGTGTGATGGTGCGGTGATGTGCGCGACAATAGCGACAACAGTGGCGTATTTTGCTTTTGGGTTTGTGTGCTGCAGTACGCTGGTCGCACTAGGTAGGCTACTTTGGGTCTCCCCCAGATCGCGTGTGTGCTGCTTTACGAGTGTGACAGGGCGGTCGGTCCTACTTTCCTCCGCGCACTGCAGCTAAACATACATGTACATTTCCAGGATTGTTGGACGCAACGTCGTGTCTACACTTAAAAGGTGCTGCTGTTTTTGCGTTGAGGTGCATCCGTAGCTGCCAGATAAGCTGTGCAACCTCAACCTCACCCCAAGATCCAATGTCTTGCCACAAGATGCTGGCTCACGCGATAGTCAATGCTAGCTGCAACAGCAGTTTTTTTTTCACGCAACGTAGCCCCTCGCTCGGCCGAATTTGTCCTCTGTCCATGCCTTCTGCTCTGCCGAATGTCCTCCCAGAAGATGCTGGCTCACCTGATTATGTATGCCGTGTAGCTGCAACAGCAGTTTTGTCTTCCTCTGTTCTTTCACGCGCCGGAACCCCGCGCTCGGCTGAGTTTCTCCTCCGTCCATGCATTCTGTGGTCCCCCCCCCCCCCTGTTGGTGTGGTCATGATCAGCCTGAAAACCCGGAAGAGATGGTTGAGGGCGGCACGACGGCCTTCGTATCGGCGCAGTGCTTCCAGATGCTGAGGACCGTGGCCGAGCTCATGATCACCTGGCAGCCCAACGGCTCTATTCTCATCGGACACCAGCTGACGGTGGTGAGATAGGATGGATGGATGGTCTCTATTTGTCGCGAAACTTTGCACCAGTTGCCTCGAAATTCCCATTTTTTTTTACTGTAGATGCCAGGTAAAGGGAGACTACTGTTGCTGCTATCATATCATACATTGTGACCATCGACCACCGCCCCCTCGGGGGTTGTGAGAGACGAGAAGGGAGGAGAACGATTCGGGTTGTGGACAATTTGCACTTGGTGTGACACGATCGATATGCGTGGTGCGGTGTTGACTAGCGCGGAAAAGCTCGTGCCAACGCTTTCTTTTGGTGCCAAGAAAATTGTCGCTGCCACCGAGTACACAATATACGAAGGGAATACCTGCTGAACCGTTCTAGCGTTACATATTATCGAAGGCGTTCACGGCTGTGGGAAATGTGGGGCGCAATAAATAAAGGAAAATGTCCCTGTGTTTCCTTCCTACTGTGTGCCTGACCCCGGCTGATAAGTCAAATATTTGCCGAAACGTATACTGCACTGGCGCCTAGATTGGACGAAAACACACAACCTTAGTATAGTGATTTATTATCCAGCTCTGAATAGTCTAGCCCTGTTCACTGTTGGCTAGTAGAAAGCCACATGGTGTTGGGTCCAAGTCGACAAACCAAGCGATGCCAAGTCATACCGCCAACGCAGAAGGCGTCAAGTGTGCAGCCAGCCGCCCTGCTGATGCTACCTGTCCGTGCCGAGTCATCTTGGCGTGTCAATCCTCTCACAACCCTTTCGTTCCCCTCTGCTGTTCGGTTTCGTGACGGGACGCCCCAGGGTCCGTCCTTGCCTCAACCTATGCATACCCGTGTGCTACGTACAAATGATGGCATTTCCTTAGTGCTTACTCTGTCCTTTTGTGTGTATCCCCGTGCGTTCTGACATGTAACGCCAATTCATATTCAGCTGGAGTCCTGCAAGCTGCTGTTCGTGCACGAGTCTGGGATGCTGCAGTCGGTCTTCGACAAGCTCTTCACCTTACTTGAGCAGCCCGACCCCAACTTCAACCTCGCCGCGATGCCCGGAGCCACCGTGGTCACGGCTAGCCCAGAGGTACAGCAGTACCGTGGGTGACGTAAGATAGGACACCCCCTGGACCGATTTTCAATGCTCCATTTCTCCACAGCAGAAAGAGTGGCAGCAGCGCCCCGAACATGTCGTGGTTGAAGCAGTTTCGTCGAAAGCGTATCGTTTCATTTGTGCATCCTCTCGGTCGTGGAGTAATCGAGATTTGGAAATCGGTCCACGGGGTGTGTTATCTTGTGTCATGTCACGTACGGTATTCTTATCTGGCTGCGATTGTCGCTGGTTGTTCCGTCGTCGTCTTCACGTTGTCGCTTTCTTGCGTTTGGTGTCGTCCTGCGCGTGACCTCGATACTCCTCGATTGTGTCAATGTTCGGGATTTTTTTTTAACCGCAACGTAGAGCACACCATTTTTTCAGAAGCATGTTGCCCCGTAGCATGTAATAGCAACAGGGGGGTACCTATATTTTTTAGGATACTTCCCCCTTGAATGCCACTCTTTGCGAAGAGATTCCAGTCATTGTATGTTTACTGCTCTCGTATTTCTGGCATTTTTTTGTGTCCGAAATGTTTCCCGTTGATGAGGGTATTTTTGCTATGTTTTTCAAAACAGGCCACGTACTGAGTACACGTTGCGGTCGGTTACGTTTTGCCTAAGAACAACAGACCACCCGTCCTTGCCGATACACACTCCTGTGCTGTGTTCAGGTGGAAGCCGTCCGACAGGCCGCGTCGCGGGCCCTCGTTGTGCTCGGGACTGGCGTGTCTGCCGTGCTCGTGGTGGCCCTGGGGGGCATCTGCCAACGGGTCAACGCCGTCATCAACAACAACAGGCCTAGCCTTGCCGTGCGCACACACCTGCTAGAGCTGCTGGTAGGTTTTCTGCGGCTGACGGAGCTACTACATGAGTCTTGCTCACCCTTTTTTGGCTATGCACCGTCTCGGTGATTTCGTAATATCATAGAGATCTCACTCATACCTTCAGTGTAGGCGTACACAGACTCAGGTGAGTCGTAATAGAGATCTCACTGACACCTTCCGTGTAGGCGTGCACAGACTCAGGTGAGCCGTTATAGAGATCTCACTCTAAAACCTTTAGTCTAGTGTAGGCGTACACAGACTCAAAAGCAGTCGCAGTTATCCAGCAGGGTTTCTTTCCCGATCCCCGACCAATCACTGCAAAAAGTTCCAACGCATCACCTTCAACTCTGGTACGATCTCGAACCGCTAAGTCTTGCAGTGATTGTATGCATATGTTTCAAGAGATGGAGGGCAAACCAAGCCTTTTTTTAGTTTTTGTTTGGTGAGCTGCCGTCCATCAGGCAGCATCGTGTCGTTCGTACCTCTCTCGTCGCGATTTTGTCCTGTCATTGTGTCCTTCTTGTGTGGAAGAACTAGCGCCAACGTCTATCTCTACCGCAGGAGTAGTCTGAAGCGTTGTCAACGAATGTAACAGAAGTGGTTGCTTTTGTCTGCAGAGTCACAACAAGAACAAGAAGACAGCACGTGTTGCTTTTTGTTGCCGGAGTTCATGGGCTTGGTTTCCTGCTGACGGCGTTGCTGTTTCGCAATGGTGGAAACTCTGACTTCGCGTTTGCGGCGATAGACCCGATTGGAGTGCGCCTCTCCTCTTGTTCCATTGGACAAAAAATCAATACATTGACAGGTGGTGGTGAGCAACAGCGTGAAGGACGAAAATCAGCGTCGAGGGTTCGTGCTAGACATGCTGAAGGAGCCCATGGGGGTCTGGGTAGGGGAGGAGGTCACGAACGCTGTCAGCTCCCCAGATGTGAGTGATCGCGTGTTTTCGCAGGGTTTTGTATCCCGACAGCACAGCAGTACGAAAGAAATACAAGGAACAATCCTTGCGGAATAATGCTTTTTTTTTTTTTCTGGTTGCAACACAGGTCTTGAAGCAGGCAACGATACACTGTTCATACATCCTCCACCCTTTCACCCCTTGTTTCCGGCTTTAACATGGTCGATGACCCAAATGCGAACTCTGCTATTCTCGAGAACACACATCTAGTATCTACATCCCCGTCCCCAATGGCATACGCCTTCTGTTGGTTGACTTTGGTTCGCCTCCGCTTTCCTCGCGAGAGAGATGGCCTTATCTTGGTCGCGTCGCCCCCCCCCCCCCCCCCC